AATAAACTTATCAAATCAGACCTGACAAGGCAACATCCGCACAATACACATGAAAAACCGTGGCGGACGCTCGTGCGCCGCCGACGGCTATGCGCCGTCTCCCGGCCGAACCACTTATTTCCACGGCAACCACCGAACAATCTAACCTGAATATCACTTATAAATGATTTAAAATACAACCACACGAGCAGGACATGAGGGTTACTGAAGGTATAGCCACAGCCCGGGGCCACCCGAGGCCACACACGATAGGCGCGGGCGTCGGCTGGGGCCACTTCATTAGCCAAACTTCACTTTGTTTCGACAAAACTGATCATAATGAACATGAAATAGTCTAAGCTGAATATATAGACATCAACAGGTCGAGAGTTGCCGGGAAAAATCAAACTTTGCTCGGTTATAATCTTACTCAATTATGTTCGGCTTTTTCATGATTTTATTCAAAATTCTCGCAATTAATCCGAACGTTTAACTTTGAAATGACTTAATCATTATGAACATGAACTGAGGAGAAGTTTACCTCACCAATCACTCGACGGAATTCCGAAACTAAACGTGGCTTCCTTCCTCGCGTGCGTGCGCCGTATGCCGCTAATACTGACGAGAGATTGATGGAAATTTGGGGAAATTGGCTTAATTTATGAAGGTTGCTAAAAGTAAATCTTTACTACTAAATATATGTATGAGAAAGGTGGTGAAAATTTCCCCAAGCTACATCCTTTTATAGACGGCCGAAGGCTTATGGTGATGATGATGGCTTGATGTGGCCAAGTTTAGAACTCAACACTTGTTTCAATTTCATGCATATTGAGATGACTCAACATCTCCTCCACTTGCCACGTGTTTTAAAAGATTGAAGAGGAAAATGGTTTCCCTCACTTGAGGGAAGTTACGATTTATAGGAATTTTGGACATTTTCCCTATAAATCCCACGGCTTAAGCGTCTTATTAGGGTTAATCACTAATTAACCCTAATCTTGATGTTTAATTATTAATTAAACTAGTACTTAATTACCAAAATTTATTCCGAACGTAAACGGTACGTCGAAAATCAATTTCGGTAATCCCGACTGAACTTAATTAATCCCGAAAATAATAAACGATAACATTATTATATCAGAATTAAACGTAATTTACACCGATTAAAATATCGGGATATTACAATAAACCTATGCGCAGCGGATCTAAAGGTTTGATGAAGAAAACTTACTGCTTAAAATTTATGTAGATCTGGCTGGCCCGAATAGTTGACCGCAAATCAAATCTTCTCGGAATCGAACAAACTTGACCAATCCAGAAAGCTGACGTCACGGCGAAGTCAACGACATTGACCGATTGGAAAACAGAGTGTTCACGCGCTCTCACACGCGCGAGTAAGCTCCGGCAGCTGCTCCCTTCCGGCGGCGCGTGCGGCGGCGGCTGGCGGCGATCTTGACGGCGATCTCTTCGTCTCGTCGTCCTGGTCGTCGTGGTATGGTCACTTGCTGGTTTTGGTCTTCGGTTTGGATGTATGATAGATCTGATTGGAATCCCGTATATACCTTAAGATCTTCTACTGTATTCTCAAACAGCTATCTAGATCTTGTATCAGTGGAGCACAAGAAATAGAACTACTCCTTGGAAGAGAGAGAGAGAGGGGGCTGGACGTTTCCCAAGGATTTCGATTCTATATTTCCCTTCCATGAGCCTAATGCTGTATATATAGAGCTACAGTAGGGACCCCAAGGAAAATAGGATAAGGGCTTCTAATATATTAATACTGTGGAGCAACCCCACAAT